GTCCGAGCCGGGGCTCGAACTGGCAACCTTCCGGTTACAAGATGAACTGCCAACTCTTTGAGCCACGATCGCTCAAAGAGTTGAGCTCAAATGAGACAGGTTCAATCTGGGCTAATCCCAGGCAGCTCCAACTTTCACCTCCAGCCAATAAAGCAGCCACAGCAGCACTCCCCATTCAATAAAGTAGTTAAAATTGTATTTAAGCACCAGCAGAGAGAAAGTTCACATCAAGCAGATCAATAACTAAATATACTGTGTACTCTGCACTCTGGTTTTCACCGTGGGACATCGATCCATCAGTCCATCCATAATCTGACTCTTATCGCGGGAAAGCGGTCTGAGAAGAAATGCTCAGACCTTCCTTTTGATGTAATCACTCCAGAAGTGTCAGGATTTCCTACTCAGCAGACATGCTGAGACACCTCACCTCAGAGGGATCCAGGAGGTATCCTAGTCTGATGATGAGCTATGGCGCCCTTTGAGGTGAGGAGGGTTGCTTCTCTGGGTTGGGAATGAATGACTGCACCAAGTGGTGGAGTTTAATACAGATATCTAAAAATAATTTGGTTTTCTGAATGCTAACCTGAACTAACGAACTGCTTAATGAAATTCTAGTCGTGTTTCTGTGATACTCACAGCCTGTGCATGCATCTTGCAAACGTTAGCCTATATCCTTCTTTCAAACATATTTGTTTGGACCATGGATGTGACCAAGCACACATTGGTTACATCCATCACTCATATACAGTCTGTGCTGTGGGCCATATTGCTTCTATTAAGTTACCTCTGTTCCATTCAAATAAGACCAGTTTGCTCTCCATGGACGGACCAATAATTTTTAGGTAATGTGGATTAATTACAGAAGTCTTGATGATGGAAAGTGATATCCTTGCACAGTAAGTGCAAACTCACCACAGGCACCTTCAATAAGGCACTGAGGGCAGATGAAGCTAAATTAGCCTAGGAGCAGGTAATGCATTAGGGTAATGTGATGCTCCAGTCCCTGGAGAGCTATTGGCTCATTTAAGAAGCTGTTTTATTGTATTAGGTGCAGAGCCAAACACAAGCTGGCAGCAGAAGTGTGGGACAGTTTGGCTGCCGCAGGGGGCTGCACCAACAAATCCATCCCTTACAAGCACAGATGATGTTACTCTTTCTGTAGCTACGTGCGCTCACAGCTCAAAACCACATCTGTACTAAAGAAGCAGGCGGACCACAGGGAGAGAGAAGCGCTCCACAGCAGCAGACCAAATGAGCTGCTGTTCTTTTTATGTTACCACAGATCTCCTGGCATATGAACTGCGACTGGATAAAATCTGAGATCCAGACACCATAATGAAAAAATCTCAACAGACACGAGAAAGCTTTAATGGGCTGAGCCAAGATGAAAAAAAACTTGGTGGTGATTAATTCATTTTTCTGAAAAGACTTCACAGCTCGCTAACAGACGATAATAATGAGATTCTAATGAATGATAATTGAGCTTTTTAATGACTGAGGGGCAAGACGGGAACCAGCAGGTGGTGAGGTTGTCCCGTCCCTGTGGGGAGCACCAGACGCAGGCACAAAAACACACCAGCGCTATAGTGACGCCAGTACATGCCTGCTGATGAATGCTTTGGCCGGTAACTCTCAACAAACGTTACACAATCGCTCATTCGTTGATTAAGAAGTTTACGGGGGAAAATCGGGTCATTTCGCCTGCCTGGTTTCACAAAGTTCTTCTTTATGGCTGCCAGCACATCAAAGAGTTGTTTTGGCAGAATATCGCCTGGCGTTTCAGCAGCATTTGTCTGCCCCCTCACCGTCACACCCCTGCCATTATGTAACTCTAATCATCTTATCTGGCTAATTACTGACCGAGACCCTGAACTCACCTCTAAACCTCATGCACAGCACTTATACCGTGTTTTTCCCACGTTCTCTTCAATAATACCCCCAAATCCTTTTTTTTTTTTTGGTTTAACACCAACAGCTGGATATAAACGTAGTTTTTACTGAGAGCTTTAATGAATTCAGTGTGTATGTGTATTTGTTTTGCTGTACCTTGTGTCCAGGAAGGGCAGTGTCTGAGGTAGAAGCTGACCTCGGGCCTCCTGGCTCCCCACTGCTGAAGGAGATCCAACAATAACAACTCCTGAGGGAGAACTCGCTCTGAGAACAGACGAAGGGTGAGAAAACATTTGACAAAGATCCCACTAATTACATAACGTCACACTATTGTGTTATAGAGCTAGAAAGAGATAATTAAGAATTCTTACTTTGTTAAACAGCACATTTACAATTTTATCAGGTCGACATGTATAATTTCACTGGCTAGTTTCAAAAAATTACCTGTGCACGTCGTGTACGGCCAAAATTGTCTATAAACGTATCCTCCACACATAGATACTGTAAAATATGTCTTTTTTTACAAACTGTGCAAAAGAATGAATAATCTTTGCTTTGGAATAATGAATAAGAATTCAAAATTGCAGCTGTATTGTTGTTGGCTGTACATCAAGCCACACATGAAAGGTTTGCAACATATATGCAGCATATGCAAGACAGCAACCTATCACCATTGTCTGCACAGTGACAGTGAAACGCACAAAACCCCAAACCTCTTTCTGAGTGGAGCGGGGCTTTAAGGATTTATTTTTACCCTTTTTTGCAAATGTTAGTGTGGAAAAACGAAGCCAGAAAAAAACCCAGAGAATCAATATTTTCACAGTGAAGTAAGCCAGCTGTGCCCTTGAGGCACAGCCTGTTGTCACGCACCAACACTCGGCACACAATTTATGCCGCCATCTATTATGTGCTGCTTTACACAGACACTCACGAAGACATGGTGTAGTATTAGAGCCGTTTATATCCTGTCTGGCCGCTCAGTCACATCACAAAGCCGCACAAACGCACCGCCGTTACTGCGCAGGCTTCACCGCGTCGACAGCTATGACTGAATGAATGTGGGCCACGCTTTAATGGACGCCCTCAGTGTGTGAATGAGATGGGCTGGTCTATTCATATAGTAAACTTGGAGCACACAGCACTCTTGATTTCACAAGCTGAAGCCGCAGCATACTGTAGGTCTGACTCGGTTTATAATTAGCTTCACAGCAAGTGACTCAGATCTGAGTTACGCCGTGTCGATTATCCTGTCTCTTAATGCAAGATTATAATCATGCAAGTGCTCCGATGCTCCAAAGACAGACTGCCAGTAGTAATTATATGAGCTGGACTCTTTATGATTAATGAGTGTATGGATAAAGAGATGCACTGTGAGAATAGTACAGTCCCCTTCAGCTAATTTTCTAGATGTAATATCCTGTCTTGTCTTGGCTGATTTCTAACTTTGGTCAAGATTTCTTACTGATTATGATTATAAGCTTGGGCGCCTCCAGGGTGAGGTGTTCAAGGGCATGTCCCACTGGGAGGAGGCCCGGGGCAGACCCAGGACATGCTGGAGAGATTATATTTCTTGGGTGGCCTGGGAATGCCTTGATGTTCACTCGGACAAGCTGGAGGTGGCCGGGGAGAGGGAGGTCTGGGCTTCTCTGCTTAGGCTGCTGCCCCTGTGACCCGGCCCCGGATAAGCGGAAGATGGACGGATGGATTATGATTATAAGTTAACAGAAGATATGAATAGCGGGTTGTTTTAGGGATATATTAGGGATATCCCCTCTCTTTGACATCACTGAGGCGAGAGCAGAAAACCTGACTTAAACAGAGCAGAACTGAGCTTACAGCTTACTGGGATTATTTGTACTTACACTGACCTCCTTATTTGAAAGTTTGGTTTTAATATGAGCATCCACCACCGGACCAGAGATGTGACAGAATTTAAGCACCTAAAAGGGCCACTGACACTGATCAAATGATGCCACTTTTCAGCTCCGTGTGTGAATCTGCAGCTGCTGAATAATGCATTCGGCGTCTCCACTTTAAAGCTTTCATGAAGTTAATGTCTGGCATTTGCAGCATGTGCTGCTTTCCTTAAGTGATACTAATCAATAAGCATTATCAACCAATGAATGGACTCACCATGCCCGTTCCATACTTCAGCTAGGTGACACTCCCCCTCACCGGCCTCTTTGCAGTACTCCACCACATCGATAACTCTGGTCGCTGGAGTGACAGGGACCTCAGTTAGCATCTGCTGGGTGTCATTGAGGTAAACTGTCAGGATCACCTGCAATCAAAGAAAAATCAGGTTAATATCACTTAGATATTATTTTATATGGACTCAAACTCAGTAAGATTGTTTCCTATGACTCACTGGCTGGAATCAGATCACCAATCTCCAAATGCTGATTAAATAACTAATTTATCAGCCATATTTAAACTCTTATTTTGAAGGAGTTATTGTGGCTGGTAGCGATGATTACATTCAAAGCTAAAAATCCCAGTATGAAGTCAAGACCACCTCTGCAGCTGGATTTCATTATGTGCAGACAACAGGTGAGTCAGCTGTGATATTCAAGTGAAAAATAAATTTAATACAAAAGTAATGTATTAAAAAAACAACACATGTTAATGTTGGGCGATATGAAGGTGACCAAGGAGCAGGGGCAGATTTTGTCCAACAAAAGCATGATATAGTCCTTCATCCATGTCATCACAACACTGATCTCAGCTTAATAACCTCACAAAATCAATACCGTGAGGTCTCACTTTGAATCCTGAGTTACTGTTTTTCTTTGTTGTCTTTTTCTTGTTTTATTTTGGCGTTTCTTTTCTTTCATTTTTAATGTGAGTTTAATGCGTGTCTTCCCCTCTTTCAGTGGCAGATTCTCTTTGTACTCCATGTGAAGTTTTTTTTAGTGTTATAATTCTGTTTCCTGGTGTTTGCCTCTGAATACTCTTTGTTGGGTTTGCTTGTCTGATTTTTATGGACGTCCTCTTTACTTTTTGGCCCAGTAAAGACTGACTCTTTAATTTGTTTTCGAATCTTGTCCTACTCTATTAGTTGTGACACATAACTGGTTGTACACAGAGTAACACACACGGCCAATTCTCTCTATGACAATGGCAAACCCAGCCTAATCCATCCATCCATCAATCCTGCTTATCCGGGTCTGCGTCGCTGGGGCAGCAGTCAAAGAAGAGGTATCTCCTCCATCTTTGCCTGTGGGTCTCCACCAATTGGGACCTGCCTGAAACACCTCGCGTAGGAGACATCGGGTCAGATGAATGACCTCAACGGGCTCTTTTTAATGTGGAATAGCAGCTCTACTCTGAGCCCCTCCAGAATGATTGAGCACCTCACCCTATCTCTAAGGGAGAACCCAGACTTTCCCTGGAAAAAGCTTATTTCTGCTGCTTGTATCCATGATCTCATTCTTCTGGTCACGACCTAAAACTTGTGGATAGGTGAGGGCAAGATCATCTTTACTACTGCTGCACCAATCTGCCACTTCCTCCCCAGGTCACCAATCAACAAGACTCCAGATCACTTGAACTCCAACCAGGGTGGGCACTCCACTTTGTTCCAGCTGAGAACCGTGGGCTCACTCTCATTTTAGTGTCCGTTTATTTCTGTTAACATAAATAGAAAAAGAACTTTATGATTTTAAAGGTGATCTGCGGAGTACTGATCCCCTCTCAATAATTTTGTTATCAAATCCTGTATATTCTGCAGCCAAAAGATTAAAATGTCAATCAGAAAAGGACATCCTGTGTTATCGTCAGTGATGTCACTGGTGATGTCACGCCAGATAGTCAGCCGGCAGTCGAAAGATAAATTTAGGGTAATCTGGGATAGGAGTGCATCGACACACCACAGCGCTCACAGATACAGATACACTTTTTAATCTCAGCGTTGCTTTTTCTTTTTCTCTCACGCACACACACAAACACACATAGTCTTCCTGTGCAGATACTACAGTATGCACACACTCAAAGTATACTCTGTACACTAATCCTCAGTATTCTATATACCTGTCCCAGATCATGTCAAGTAATCTCTGGCTGCATGCAGACGGACAGAGCAGAGACACGGGCTCTAAAGCTTGGATTAGACGCACACACATACACCCACGAGTAAACTCCTAAACCCTGCAAACACACCAGGGGTTTTACTCGTCCACAAATCGTTCAAAGTAGGCTAATCGTGGCCTCAGAAGCGCTGTTATGTTTTTCACATGGTCAGAAACATCATTTGTTACACTCACGGGGTGCCGGCTGCAATAAAAGAACATCAAATCATCCAGTGTGCTTTTCTCCTTTAAGTGATTTAATAAAAAAAGACTACACAAAGCAGACAAAGACGAATGCAGTGCAAACACGCTGTCGGTGAATTTCACTAATAATAAATGCTGTATTTGAAACACTGTCTGCAGCACATTTTCTTGTATTTTGATCTTCGAGTGACTGAGTGTGATCACTTATTTATTTACATGTGGCCCTGTAATGCTTTTAATTGTGAAACTGGAAAGTTCGTTTCTCCTAAAACTTTGGCCTGTGAGGGATCATTTATTTCCCAGCATGGCCTTTGGTTTTAATGTCATTTATTGGTAATTAATCAGGCGTCTCATATTAACATTTATATCTTTCAGATCTTTTAGTAATCTAAATATTTTAAGCATGTCTCGAGAAATTGTTTCAATTATTACAAATCTACAGTCTTGATGTATAAAGGAAAGTCAAATGAGGGACCGTGCCGAGTGATACAACACAAACATTATAAAAAATGAGGCAGGCCTTTATTGTGGCTGATCAAAAGTCTCAAATACAAAAGTCCAACCAGAACCAGAATCAAAAGAACACTGAATATGCAGAAAAATCAAACAGGAACAAAGCAGCAAACACAGACAGGAACATAACAGATGCTTTGATAAAAGACAAAGAGAAGATGAATTGATTGATGAGCCTTTCTGGAACTAAAACCTCACTGTTGCTCAGACTTTCCTGAGAAGGGATGCAAAGAAACCAAAATACAAAGACCAAAGACAGAGTGAGGAACGGAGAGGAAAACACTGAGGGAACCAAGTCTACAGCAAAGAATAAAAATCAAAGCCATGATGTAAAGACAGTAAAATACTGTAGGTGAGCTTCCTCCAGCTCATCTATGGTGCTAGCATCCTGCAATACACGATTCACTCAAGCATAATTTAAAGGTTTAAATGAAACTGTATTTTCTGTTAAACAATCAGATCAGGCTGGTCTAAGCAAGTAAGTTGTATGATTTGTATTTTGTATCAAAATTATTTCAAACCATAACAATTAAAGGAGATCTCAAATTCATCCTTTAAATAAATAAATCAGTTTATTTGCTGAAGCAGTTCAATCGCATGAAGGTAAAGCTGAGCTCTCAGATCCCTCACAGGCTGCCATGTTAACCAGCTGCGTTAAACCTAAAGGCTTGGACACGATGTCTGAGAAGAAAACAAACACTGCTTTGCACTTCGCTGATGTCGTCCTGCATTAAACTTTCCAAAAGCTTCTTCTGGGTTATTATGAACACTGCATAAAAACACGAGCTGACGCGTACAATAGAAAGCTTTTTACCTCCAAATTCTGTCCCAGCTCTGTCTAACATACTGTCCTCACATAACTCCTGCATCCCCGTCCAAACTACAGTCTTCTTTTACAGTTTACCTGGAACTGAAAACCTTATTATGGTGTCAAACTGAAGCATGAAAAGAAAAAAAGATTTTGTGAGCCACTTTGTTAAGAAATATCTAAGTTTCATGATATCGTTTCACCTCCCATGTAAGAGGCTTCTTCATTTCTAAAAAATGGCGGAAAGTCCCAGGTACCATATATTGTACCTACAGCCATGTTATAATAATAGCGCTGTATTGATTGTAGATTCACCATTTGGTAGCATGGCTACAAGCACAATTTGGGCACCTGTTGCTGACCATGTCCATCCCTGTATGACCACAGAGCTTCAGCAGGATGATGCACCATCTATCTGTCTGTCTGTCAATCTTGTTAACATGGAGATTAATCTTTGTGGAATTTTTCTGGCACCTTGTTGAATCTATGCCACAGAGAATTAGGAAAGCTTGGAAGAAAAAAAAGGAGCCGGTCCAACTCAGTACAAGCAAGGTGTACCCAATGAAGTTACAGGTAAATGTGTATCAGTGACACAAAGCAAAAGATCACAAACCAGAAATTCCAATTTTCTATTTTGCAGCAGCACATTTATGTCCTAACTTTAACTCTATACTTTGTGCACATGCAGACCTCTAAAGTTAACAGACCTTTAGTGACTTTCCTAATGTCAGCAAGCATTTAAAGCAGAGTCAGCCTGAAACCAAAAGAACTGACAGTCAACCTTTGAAGTTCACGGGGACCAGAACTTACTAGGAAAACCACAATGTAAAGATCAGGAATAAAAGCTTTAGTAACAGAACTCACCGTTAGAATAATAACATAAACCCAAACTAAAAAAATGTTCATCAAGAATCTGAAACTCAAAAGCACCGTGACGGCATGTTAGGATCAGTAAAATCACTTGTACTAGTGCTCACTGATCATGTGAACATAATGACCTCACAGTAATGACAGTTCCTTCCTGGCTATCAGTGACTGAGACACACAGAGGCAGATTGAGCTGTAGTTCCTGAAATGCCTGTGGGGCTGAATGGAGTGACTCGGGCTATTTTCAGCATTAGAGAAGGAAAAAACAGAAAGTCAGATAGAGGAAGAGTGAGCCAGGGTGACAAACAGCCCGTGTTAGTGTCTGCAGGAAACAATCAATGCTCGTTTTATTAGTCATTTTAACCTGTTAGCAGTCGGACGTACCGCCCACGGTACATTGGATGGTTTAGGGGACTAATTGGACTGCTAAGGGGTTAAAACAACACGTTAGCCTCTATCAGGGCCCAAAACTCAAGTATAGAAAACTCCGTCCAGACCTTTCCTAGCAAAAACTAAATAAAACTCACACAACTAACTTCATCATGTTAGACTGAGAAGAACATATATGAAAAAGCAAAGTAGAGCTCTTCTCTCACTCACCCACTGTTTGCTTTTCCTGGTTTGGAGCTGCTGCTTCTTCTTCTTCTGTTTCCTGCAATTACTCAGTTTGAAGTTTTCAGACAGAAACACCAGCCGCTCCAAAACCAGCCCCCAAAAACGCCTCATTGGAAAATCACGAGCAGAAGCACACACACCAGCGTGTGTACACATGTGTGTGTGTGTGTGCGTGCATGTGTGTGTTTGAGAGCGAGAGTGAGATATATAATTGATGGTGTCAGATAGAGAAGGTAATGTGTCTGTAGGTGAGAGTGTTTGAAATGTACGTGGAGCAGGGAATACAAATGTGAGAGAGGGTGTCAGTGAGGGAGGAGGGAAGGGAGTCGGCTTACAGTAAATATAAGGAGAGGGGGTGAGGAAGATGAGCCATAAGAAAGGAAAGGCCAGACTCTGTTCGTGTCTGTTGTTGGGAGTAGACCGTGAGCTGATATTGTTATATGTTCATCATACATCTGGCATGACGGGGGCGGTTCTATTTTTTTGTCGGTGACTGAGTCAAAGGTTTGACTGTAAAACTCGGACGCTTGTCTCCAATCAGTTTTAGGTAAAAGTTTAGTTCTTCATGATAAAAGTAAACCAGCTTCCAGCTGCTGTGAAAGGCTGCAGTTGGTTTAAATACAACTCGACCTGACGGAAAGAAAACAGAGCTTTATTTTAAAGAACATCTGTTAACCACAGTCATATAAAGATGATGTTAAAACAAAAGTAACAAAAAAACAAATCAAATAGCTAGATGCAGAGGACAGGAAGCACAGGAACATAGATGATGGAGCCAAGAAGGAACACAGACAACAAAGACCATCCCTGATTCTTGTCCCTCTCATCGTGGATGCAGGTGGAGGAGGGGAGCAAAGTACGAGCGGGGAGGACTCGAGACATCGAGACGATGGTATTTGGTACAGCTGCATCACAGATAGTTTTGTTTTAGATGAATTAAAACTACAGCTGAATTTTATAACCTCAGGTGTTGCACTATGAATGACATGTTTTCTATTTAGGACAATGTGATCAAACCTTTTGTTTTTTAAATCATGCACACAGAAGCAGAGCAAATCAGAAGATGAGGAAAGGATGAGGTCACTATGTGACTTTGTTCCACGTTATAAATTTCTCATTTATGAGCTTTTAATTTGACTTAATTGCTGTAATTGCAGTAATTCTTATGTCTAATGAGTAAATTATTGCGTATTAGGGAAGCATAAAGTCTATCACTCACTGTACTTTTCAGCTAACTGGTTATAAAAGAACAAAAAGCTCAACTCTGTGAGTTAACCCTCTCTCCTAACACTCTGCTATTAGCCCTTCCAAGCAAATAGCTAATAGCTCTTCCAAGTTTTGTCAATTGTGATTCACGTGTCAAAAAAAACTATCACGTGGCAACAGCCCAGTGCATTTAAGGATGTAGACATGGTCAAGATGACCTGCTGATGGTCAAACAGAGCATCAGAATGGGGAAGAAAGGTGATTTAAGTGACTTTAAGTGTGTCACGTTTAGGGGTGACAGACAGGCTGATCTGAGGATTTCAGAAACTGCTGATCTGCCTGGATTTTCCTGCACAACCCTCTCTAGGGTGAGAATGGTCTGAAAAAGAGAAACTATCAGTGAGCGGCAGTTCTCTGGTTGAAAATGCCTTGTTAATGCCAGAGTCAGGAGAAAAAGACCAGAATACTTCAGGCTGAGAAGAAGAGAACAGTAACTGAAATAGCTTAGTATAGCCAAGGTATGCATGAGAGTACATTTGAATGCAGAAGCAGAAGAGCACACAGGGTGCAGTTCCTCTCAGCCAAGAACTGGAAACTGGGGCCACAAATTTTACCATAAAGACTGCCTGGTTGTTTCAGTCTTGATTTCTGCTCCAACAATTGGATAATTTTCAAAATTTGTCATAAATGACTTGAAAGCATGGCTCTATACTGCTTTGTATCAGCTGTTCAGATTGGTGGTGTGGTAATGGCATGATATTTTTGACAGACTTTGGTCCCCTTGGTACCAACTGAGCGTCATTTAGACTCCACTGCTTACCAGAGTACTGTTGCTGGCCATGTTAATCCCTTTATGGCCACAGTTATCCTGGTGCTAGGTTATCTAGGAAAACACGCCATTTCACAAAGCTCAAATTATCTTGAACATGTGTAAATCATAGATCATGGATGTGTGGCTAATTCATCTGCAGCAGCTGTGTGATCCTATCACCTTGTTGAATCCATGCCATGAAGAATTAAGGCGGCTCTAAGGCAAAAAGGAGGTAAACGTTGGTTATAGCAAGGTGTAACTAATAAAGCGGGCAGTCAGTTTAATGTTTGTTGAACAATTACTGCAAAGTGAAATTTTTAAAAAACCTCAACTTAAGAGAAACACCTAAATATAACAATGAAACCACACCACCTCCTAATAAACTACAAATCTGCAGAAATATGAGCGTATCTGTATTATTTGAGCTGTGGTGTGGATTGAAGCTGTCCAGCAGTAGTGGTAAAGCTGGAGGGCAGAGATTAGAGAGGCTGCACTGATATGCTGCAGCATGACTGCACTAACACACACACACACACACACACACACACACACACACACACACACACACACACACACACACACACACACACACAGATAGGACACAGAAGGTACACTGGCAGAAGAGCTTCACCCCTCGCTCTCTGTTCCTGTCACACAAGGTCACATGTTGGGTGCATGTGCTCAAACACACACAGATACCCTCTGTCTCTGCGGCAGCTATTGGCAGAAAATCAGTACACAGTTCAGTAGAAAAGAGACGTTACATTAACATGCACTGTGACTAAATCTACTGTTCCTCCTGTTCTTGCACACGCATAAACAGAAATCTTCAACACAGATTATTTATCATGTGACTCTGACTGATATTTATGCCCCACAATCCTTTGCAGCTGCTGCCTGAAGACACTTGAGCCAGACAGTGATGAGTGAGAAGGACTTTTCTTGATTAAAGAGATATTCAGAGATACTCGAATTAAAGTGAAGAGCATCATTAAGACGTTTCATCAGTCACACGTGTCATTAATAGATAAGTGGAAAGATTAACTTTTAATCACATAGCAGGCAGTGTTTTTCTTATAAATGATAGCAGTCTGCAACTGCCACGTGTATTATCAGGGCCTTCAGACCAACGAACATCTACTATGAGTTTGGATTTAATACACAAAATGTTTGTCCAAGTTCCTAAAGAGGACAGTGATGTACAACCACCTACAACATACAATACAGGCACAGAACAGAGACAACCAGGCTCTCTCACACCCACTTTTCCAACCATTCGTCCATTACAGCTCTACAGGAAGTACGCTGACTGCAGTGTGCATGTTTGCACGTCACACTAAGGCATATGAGAAACCACTGAGGCATGTTTATCAGCTGTCACCAGCTGTCCACTAGAAGGACAAGTGCTTACAATAAGTTCTTAAACAGCTCCAATCATTCAGTGAGCTAATACCGTGTAAACTAACTTGTGTCTGTTTGCAAGTACTGCATGACTGAGTGTGTAAATATCAGAATATTTTAGTATGTTTGTTTAAATAATTTTATGAACGTATGTACATCCAGCCACAGGTTCACCTTTATTTCAGCCTCTAGATGATCTAATGTACCAATGTGTTTCTTTAAAACAAACAAGAAAGTTACAAACTTCATTATTTCTTTGTTTAAAATAATGAGGAAAAAGTAAAATTCATCATACTAGGATAATAATAACCCAAAAAAGGGAATTCCATCCTCCGTTACCTTTCAGTTAACCAAAGTCAGGTTGGGGTTGCAGCAATGCTTTTCAGTTCCTCCTTGGGGAATCCCAAGGCTTTCTCAGGACAGATGAGATATATAATCTTTTCAGCAGGTTCTGGGTCTACCCAGGGGTGTCCTCCCAGACGTGTATGCACAGATAGTACGCACCCAGGAGGCATGTACATGCTACCTCAGCTCCTTTCAATATGGAGCAGTGGCTCTAATCCCACCAGATGCTCTTGACCCAATGTTGACCCAGCCTCTCTTCCCTATAAAATCTCTAAAGGATCAAACTCACTATTTAATCAAACTTGGAATCCACCACTTGAGACAATAAAACAGACCTCACACTGCAGCTGATTTAGCTTTGGGGCCATCAGTCTATGACCAAGCGACTGGTGGTGAGGGAGCATGACTTCTTTGCATGCCAACAACCAAGAGATAGCCTGGTCCACAGTCCATGTAATCCTCCTCATCATCTTTTCCAAAGAAGCTGAAAGTTCATATTTCATTTGAATCTAGGCCTCGATGGTTCAGAATGCCTACGACATATAAAGTTTCTACAAAGACGGCCTTGTATTTACAGACTGTGAGTCTGTCTTTCACCGCATTAGTTGTATAACCAAGCATAATGGCCGTGTCAGGAAGTGTGTCGTTTTCCTGTGAATTATGTAACCAATGTGACTGGATGATGTTTGGGCTGCTGTTGCATTGCTGTTTTGAATGATGATAGACTGTGTTGGGGATGTGGGACTGTAGTGTTCCTATATCTGCTCTACCAGTCGTTCATGGAGAGAAGTTCTCCGGGGAGTGAAATGGTTTGCAGGTGGTTCCTTTCTTCAAAGTTTTGCACCATTTTCCACTTTTTTTCTGCATGTCCTGCGACTGCTTCTGCTCTTACACCGTTTCCTCCACCTTAGATCTTTCTGGTCTAGGAGCTTAAATTAAATCAGGAAGAAGATCTGAGAGCAGCTGGTTGCAGCAGCCCACACAACTTAAATTAAATTTCTGTGATATTTCAAACGACAGTGCGTTTACTTGTTAATCATGAATCATGAAAGGATAAATCAGCCAACGTGGGTGGGGAGAAAATTTGGAAAGTGTTGCACACTGAATAGAAAATAGCTCGGCCCCTCCAGAGAGGCAGCTTCAAGGAACACTGGAGGGATTTAAAGCTTTAACTAGGAGATATGGAGCAGTGCTCACTGAGGGCAGACTGATGACATATTTTAAGCTAACTCAAAAATACAATTAAGCAAACCGTTAAAAATGCTCCAAAAGGTACCCAGAGCACAAAACAGACGTAGAGATCTAGTTCAGTGGCTTCCATTAGCAACGTGAAATCTAACAGACAGCAATTAGCTACAGCTGCCTGTGTCAGGACACCACGCCCTTAAATCCAATATCCAGGTGAATGAAACCATGTAAACAGATGATGTAAAGATGGAAGTAGCTTCCACATCTGTATTCTCTTTAAAGGCCAACAGGGGGCGACTCTTCTGCTTAAAAAAGTGATTTC